TATCAGGCAATCCTCCTGCCTCAGCCTCCCAAAATGCTGGGATTACAGGTGTGAGCCTCCACGCCTGACTGACTCTCACATTTCCCTTGGCCCTCCCTCTCTCTCTCTTGTCATTTGTTCATTGAGGATTCTGGATCATTTGTCCTATAGAATTTTCCAAACTCTGGATTTTGCTGATGAAATCCCCCCCACCACCATTTACCATGCTTATTTTCCTCCTGCATTTCCTTTACACTGGTGGCTGATTCTAAAACTCCCCTCCTTTTTTAATAGAAGCAGAGAGAAAAGGAAAGGGGGAAGGGAACCATCATTTATCAACACCCACTGTGTGCCAGGCACTGTGTGGGTTCTTGTATAAACATGATCTCATTTAATCCTCACTGATGTCCTTTGAGGTGAATATTTATTATCACTCTTCTTACAGATGAGGAAACCAGGACTCAGAAAATCTGAGTCTCACAAATTGATCTCATAAAACTGGAAAATGACGGAACCAGGGTCGGAGCCCAGCTCTGTGTGACTCTAGAGCCCCTTCTCACTGCACCACACTGCCCCGGAGTGAAAAGGGGGTGGCACATGAGTGAGTGCAGGAAGGAGGTCTAGCTAGCCTGCGTCCTGGGACTATTCCTCACACTGTTCCATGTTAATAATACGCATTGTGACTTCATATGTGCCAAGTACTTTACATGCATCACAAGGATCTGGGCGATGGATGCTTATTATCCCCATTTTACAGGTGGGGAAAATGAGACAGTGAGGGCCAGAAAGGGCAAGTGGCTTGTCCTGGGCAAGGCAGCTGGTCTCACCAGGTTTCGCCCTCAGGTTTGTCTGCCAGTGGAGCCCATGTTTGCACCACTGTCCTACGTGGCCTCTCCTCATGGATGGCTCCATCCTTCTGGATGTGACGGATAGAGCTGGGTGCAGAGATAGGAAGAGCAGCCCAACTTTCCTAACTGGAGGACTGGAGCGAGAGCTCTCACTGTCGGCCTAGTGTGAATCAGCTCCTTTCCACCACATTCCCCAACTGAGGACAGTCTATACCAAGCTCACAGCACTGAGCCGCTGGGGGAGGGCCAGCCCACACCCAGCCCCGTCAATCTTGGTGGCATGGACTCCCTTCCAGAGCTTTCTCAGGAGGCCCCATTTCCTACTGCAGCGGGGCAAGAATTCAGGAGGAGCCCACTCAAAGGGGAGACAGAGGCAGTGTTCCCTGCGAGCAGCTCTTTCCTCCCAGAGCTGTCATGGACAATTGGAGAGAAAAACCGGGACATTCTCCCCCACCAGGATATTTTGTATGCTTCGCACTTACTGCTGCGCTCCCTTCATCTAAAAGCTCTAAAATTTCAAATAAAAAGGTACAATGAAAGCAGCAGCAGGATAAATAGCCACAGTGATCTGAGCTGAAACCCTGGAAGCTTTATTCACATCTTTAGAAAAACTCTGAAGGCTCCTAGTAGCAGCTGCAGTACAAAGCCTCACACTTTAATTCTAAGGCTGCCAGAAATAGGTCTGTCAGGCCTGAAATATCACTGCATTTCATTACTCTTAAATGTGCATTACCATCTCCGCTTCATTACCAGCTGGGGGGTATTCTCGGGATCAACTCCGAAGAGCACCGGGGATCTGGGATATATGGGGAAGGGCAGAGGACACAGCTGGGGCTAAAACACCCAGATGGGTGGAGAGACCTAGTGGGCTTAAAGATCACACTAGGCCCACAGGAGCGGAGGATCCATGTCCCCACCAGAGGAAGGCAAGCTGCACTCTCCAAGTCTGATGTCACCCACTTGGGCGGTGAAGCCAGTATGGGAGAAGCAGCGGCAGGACTGCTGGGGCAGTGGAGAGGACAGTTTTTGAGCACAAAATAGGGCCTATGGAAGCAATGGATAAAGGGCCGAGGCCTTCGAGCCCAGCAGCAGGTAGGAACTGGTTAGAGGGAAATTAGGCCATCAGAGCCGGGGAAAATCACAGGCACAAAGCAGCCAGTGCAAAATCCTGGAAGGAGGTGGCTGCTGGAGGTTTGGAAGTTTGGAGCCTGGAGCAATCTGCATGTTTATAATAAAACTGACACTCAGGGCAGCTCTGAATAATTCAGTAGGCACTGTGATCTCGTTACAGTGCGTGTCCCTGGGGTACAAAGGGAGAGGGGCTGGCTCGGCCCAAGCTGGCTGCCGCCACCAGGCTCCCTGAAAGGGCGTGACAGATGGGCCGACACCAGCCACCACCCAGTCACGCTTCGCACGGTGATTGGTTTTCAAAGGAGGACAGGGTTTGTGAATGGAGCCAGCTTGTTGCTTGCTGCCTTCAAATGGATGCTGCTGGGTCGCGTGGCCAGCCGGGCCCCTTTGTGAATGGGGCATCACCAGTGGGTGGTGAACAAGCCGGAGATGACTCCCCTTTCCCCTCCCCCATGATTGCTGAAGCTGAGATGGAGGGAAAGGCGAGCAGGGCCCCTGACCCTTCTCTCTGCTGACAGGTTTAACCCTCCATCGGTCTTCCTCGGCTCTAACCCTGCATCAGTGAGAATTAGGTTCAGGGGCATATACCATAAAAACAAAAAGTTAAAACAAGATGAGAGTGTCTTTTTCTCTCACGTAAACAAATCCAGAGATAACTAGTACAGATGTGATTTGTGAGCTCCACCACCATCAGGACCTAAGCCCCTTTCCCCGCACTACCCTGCCATCCCCAGTCCTCAGCTTGCTAGTCCTGGTCCCAAATGACTGCTCAAGCTCCCACATCATGTCTCCATTCCAGCTATCAGGAAAAGAAGATGGGAAAAAGCTGCCCAGAGTGCATACTAGTCACTGAGATTTCCCAGAAGCTGCCACATGCGCAATAGATGACAACTTGATTACATGGCTACGCTTAGCTGCAAGAGAGGCTGGGAAATGTATGCTTGTCTTATATGGCCATTTGCTTGTGGGTAGATAATTCTCCATGGTTCTATTCCATTTCTACACATCTTGCAAATGAGGCATTGACTGTCCTTTGTTCCAGGTTATCATTTTCAAGATATAGCGGACAGCCTTGGAAGATCTAGCGTCTCCCTCCCAAAGGGGCAAGCATGCTGCCCCTTATAAAATAGACATGGCCCATTATAAAAGATCTGGGTTCCCTAAGCTCAGGGTTCCTGTCCTGAAATGCAATCCACTGTGTGTACAGGCATCACCTGGCCCTTTCCGCAAAACCCTGTGGGGATTAGGGCTGGTACTCTTGCTACTGCCATTGCTGTGAATAGTAAACTGTCCTTCATCTCTGATCCAGGAGTCTGGGCTTCTAACACAAGCTGCGACACTGGTGGGCTAATTTGTTAGCTTGTAAGTAGGATAAACTTTCATACCCCTCATAGTTCCTGACAGTGTTCAGCTAAGAATCAGGGTTTCTTCAGGGGTAGTTACTAGAAATCTGCCATAGGCTTCTTCCCAGCTACTTGAGTTGACCGTACAGGTGTTTCCAGGTATCTGGACCCCTCCCACCACCAAAGAGGGGAGTGCCTTCAGGTAAAACTCCAAAATTATAGCAGGTCTCGAAATGCCTTAAGACAGTGGGAGTCAGCCAGGCATGCTGGCTCACACCTATAATTCCTGCACTTTGGGAGGCCAAGATGGGAGGATCACTTGAGCCCAGGAGCTCAAGACCAACCTGGGTAACAATAGGGAGACCCTGTCTCTACTAAACCAAAAAAAAAAAAAAAAAAAAGAAAATTAGCCAGGCATGGTGGCACATGCCTGTAGTCCTAGCTTCTCAGGAGGATAAGGGGGAAGGATCACATGAGCCCAGGAGGTTGAGGCTACAGTGAGACATGACTACACCACTGCCTTCCAGCCTGGGTGACAGGGTGAGGCCCTATCTCAATTTAAAAAAAAAAAGTAAAAAAAAAAAAAAAAAGAGTGGGAGCTCATGCACCTGCTCACCCCCTCAGCTCTGAGGGTTCTCTGAAGAACCCCATGGACTTCCTTGTCTCCATTCAGTAGGACCCGGAGCAGGCCTTGGGATCCAGATTTAGGCCAGGTGCCACAGAGCCAGCAGGCAGACTCGGCAGGAATCCCTTAACAGCATTCTCAGGATATCCAGGGCTCCAGGTGTTTCCTAGACTGTCAGGACAAGGACAGGGAGCTCAATCCAGTGCCAGGGACTCTGCTTGCTGCCTCATTGCCAAGGGGAGAGACTCTACACAGTGAAATCTGGATTACATATTAAAAGGTTTCAAACCCCTAAATGCAAGGTGATGTCCCAGATTGAATCCTAGAACAGAAAAAGGACATGAGTGGAAACGTGAAGTCCAAGTAAAGTCTGTAGTTTGCTTAATAGTATTGTTCCAATGTGAATTCTTCATTTTGACAAACGTACCATGGTTAGTTAAGATATAAACTTTGGGGGAAGCAGGGTGAGGAGTACATTGGAATTCTCTACACTATTGTTGCAACTTTTATGTACATCTAAAAATTTTCCAAAATAAAAAGTATACTAAGATAAAGCCGAAAAGACTTCAAGACCTAAGCTCAACATTTAAGAGGCAGGAAAAGAAAAAGATGAAGGGTGGGGCACGGTGACACATGCCTGTAATCCCAGCACTTTGGGAGGCCAAGGCAGGCAGATCAGTTGAGCCCAGGAGTTCAAGACCAGCCTGGCCAAAATGGTGAAACCCTATATCTACTAAAAATACACAAATTAGCCTGGCATGGTGCGCACCTGTAGTCCCATCTACTCAAAAACTAAGGTAGGAGAATAGCTTGAACCCTGGAGGTGGGGGTTGCAGTGAGCCGAGATCTTGCCACTGCACTCCAGCCTGAGAAACAGGGCAACACTCTGTCTCAAATATGTATGTATATATGTATGTGTGTGTGTGTGTGTACATACATATATGATTATTGTAAGTATTTAAGTTCAAAGAGCTGGGTTAGGACCTCTCTTCTGGAGTTAACCATAAACCGTCCTCTTTCATCGTCAAAGAATATCCAGGATTGGAGTAAAAATGGAAGCAAAGGCGAACTCACCCTTTGCAAGGCATCGGAGTGGGCAGTCAACCCGGACCAACGCCAGCATCAAGGTCGGGCGAGGCCCGGCACGCACTTGGTCCTTGGGCAGTCCCGCGGCGCTGCCGGAAGGGCAGGCTGGGGCCCCGGCCCTGCGGCCCCCGCTCTCCCGCCTCCGCTCCCCGGGGAGCACCCGGGCCGCGCCCTCGCGAGGGCCCCAGCGCGAGAGGCCCCGCCCGGCCCGGCCCGCCGCCCTCGGAGGAAAAGCTGTTTGCTCAGCGCGGAGGAATGCGGCGCCGCGCTCCGCGGGGAAAGCTCCGAGAGTGCACAGCCGCCGGCGGCCGCAGACTTCGCCCCTCTGCGCACGGCGGCTCCGGGCGGGAAAAGCGGGGCGGCCTGAGGCCCCAGGCCCGGCCCCCGGCCCGGGGTGGTCCAGCCAGGGCTCCCGCCTTCGAGGCCGTTGAAAAACGGCGGCAGACGCAGGCCCGAGGGCCGAGGCAAGAACCTCCCACGGAAAGCTCCAAAGAGGCGGGGGTTTCTGCCTCACTGTTGTGCTCATGATTCATCTGTGGCGCCTGAAGAGTGCCTTGAACATATATTAGGCGCTCAGTAAACATTTTTTGAAAGAATCGCATAATCCTCCCGGCCTCAGTTTCCTCCTGTGTACAGGAAGGGTTTGATGTCGGAGGGCCCTATCAACTCAAATTCTAGGATGCTGAGATTAAATCCCATGTGTACTGCTGTGGTTTCGCTTTTAGTTTTTTGGGGACATTTTTAGTGTTACCCTTTATGATGTGCCAGGAGTGAATTTGACACCAGATGGCTTTTTTTTTTTTTTTTTTTTTTTTTTTTTAATAAGAAAGAAGACAAAGGGAGGGAGAAAAATATTTTCCGACTGGCAGTGCTGACAGCATTTTGGAAGAGAATCCAGGGAGGCAAGGGAGCTGTTTCAGCCCGATTCTGCCTCCCCCTGCACACTCTGCCACCCTGGCCTCCACCATAAATGAGGTCGATCTGAGTGGAGTTTTTTATGGATGAGGCAAAGGGAGCATCGTCACAGGAGACTCCACCCGAGTTAGCAGTTGCTTTGCCCTCTGTGGCTGTCACAGCAGAGTGGCCCCTGAGCCGAATGGTGGTGGATTCCAGCTATAGGCCGGGCTCTGGCTAAAGGCTGAGTCTGGTGTTAATTAGAAGAAAAGAGAGACACCTGGCGAATCAAAAGCTGGCGCTCCCTGCCTGGGGAACATTCAGGAAAAGATAGCCAAAGTGGCAGTACCTCTTCTGGAATTCTTCTTCTCTGGGATCCCAACTCCCTCTCATGGAAAGGCGGGGTGGAGAGAAGTTCCTTGCTCAAAATGACCTCAAGCTGAGTTTTTAATATGTCATGGCGCAAGGAAGGGAAATTCCTAGAATAAAACAATTTGGCAGTGTGCACAGGCGTGCCAACCAGGGATTCTGCAGGCAGTCTGCTTGGGTTCAAATCTTGGCTCCACCATTTACTAGTTGTTTGATAAGGATAAACTACTTTATCTTTCTGTACCTTAGTTTCCCCAACTGTAAAATGGAATAATTAAAATTCCCACCAAAGGCAATTGTGTGGATTAAATGAGATAATACAAGAAAAGTGCCAGTGGTCTGCCTCTTCAAACAGACACTGGCACAAGGCAAGCACTCAGTGTTTTCTTTTTTTTTTTTTTGAGACGTTTTTTCACTCTTGTTATCCCGGCTGGAGTGCAATGGCGCGAACTCCACTCACCGGAACCTCCGCCTCCTGGGTTCAGGCAATTCTCCTGCCTCAGCCTCCTGAGTAGCTGGGATTACAGGCACGCACCACCATGCCCAGCTGATTTTTTGTATTTTTAGTAGAGACGGGGTTTCACCATGTTGACCAGGATGATCTCAATCTCTTGACCTCATGATCCACCCGCCTCGGCTTCCAGAGGTGCTGGGATTACAGGCGTGAGCCACCACGCCAGGCCCCCTCAATGTTTTCTTATTTGTTCAGCGACAGGACCCCCAAAACTATAAACTTGTGCTGGACAGGTCTCAAAGTGGCTGCCTGTGAAGAGCCCCACTGTGGTGCTCTCACCTTTGGGCAAAGAAGTCTCCATTCAGCTGACTGGTCCCTCCCTCCTCCTCCTTCACATCCTCAGGAAACTGGAGGAAGGCCACACAGGGTGAGCAGAAATGATGTGTCAGGCTCCAACTTGATGGATCACCTCCAGACGGATCTTGGAGGGAAGAAGGGAGTAGTAGGCATGGAGAAGAAGACTGTCAGTGTCAGTCTGGGAGGTTGGGACTAACGCAGTAGATGGTAAACAAACCAGTGCACTGATGCGTGAATGCAGTAGCCAGTGTATAAACAAGTGCACTATATACCATAGGTGGCTTATCATGGCCATGCACGGTCTGTAACTTTGTTGGATGTCCTTGATTTTCTACTGATAAACTGTTTTCTAATTGTTTCAGATGCAGTGTTCTCAAATTTGACCAGCAAACTCCTTGAGGCCAAGTCTTGTCTTTCTGTCATGGTATGCATCTGACACAAATATGTCTAAGATGCTACTCACAAAGTAAAGACTTCAGAGGTGCTTATTGATTGGACGAGATGTTAAACTCGAGCAGATAGGGATTCCAGGCTGCATGGGCAGGGGGAGACAGGCAGCTGGGCATGTAGAGATCAGATGTGTGACTCATCTGCTGGCCCCAAGTATCTTCCCTCCAACCCACAGTAGAAAATCTCTTTATCAGTAGAAAATAAAGAATATCCAACAGAGTTATAGATCATGGGTCGCCATCACAAGCCACCTATGGCATATAGGGCACTTCAAATACCCTACTCAAACCTCTGCAGTTTCCAGAAAGTCAGCGACACCAAGGTTCCCAGCCTGTCCTGCCACAGGGGAGGTGATATCCATGCCAGCCCTGGGAAAATATCTCTCTCCAACTGCTCCATCACTCCTGGCCTGCAGGAGCCTCCAAGGCAAACTTTGCTGCCATTTCTGTCGCTTTTCTGAATGGACACTGAACTTCCATTGCTGTAATCAGGACAGAGTCCACTGTTGCCCTGAGATGTCTTCTAGAGTCCTCCTAAGTGTCTTCATGTGGCTGGCCCATCCCATCATTTGGATCTTCTCTTCTTCAGAGAAGACTTTCTTGACCATCCTCTATCAAAAGTAGCTGCCCCCCTGCCAAATTACTTTCCATTATCTTGTCCTGCTTATTTTGTTACTTACATGTTCATTGTCTCTCCACCCAACCCAGACTGAAAGTTTCCCTAAGGACAGGGACCTCGTCTTTCTGTCCATTACTGTATCCCACCCCGTTTCACAGTGCCTGGCACACGGCAAGTATCTGCTTGATGAGTGGTGGCCTCCTGCTTCCTAAGTTAGTTCCCTTCTCTCTAACAATTTTATTCAGTTCTTTTCTATTAGGTAGTTCCTCTGCCTTCAGAAAATGCATCAGCTCCTTTATTTTGCAAACTCTTTTCACCTTTTTTTTTTTTTTTTAAAGGTGGGGTTTCACCATGATGGCCAGGCTGGTCTTGAACTCCTGACCTCAGGTGATCCACCCACCTCGGCCTCCCAAAGTGCTAGGATTATAGGCGTGAGCCACAGTGCCCGGCCTCCTTTCACCTTTTAGCCATCAGCTTTTTTCCCATCTTTCACCCCACCTACTACCTAGGGAAAACAGCTAGCCTTCATGTGTCAGAACCTTTCAACTGAAAGCACAGAAGACCAACTAAAAGTTTTTTTTTTTTTTTTTGAGACGGAGTCTTGCTCTGTCGCCCAGGCTAGAGTGCAGTAATGCAATCTCAGCTCACTGCAACCTGTGCTTCCCAGGTTCAAGCAATTCTCTGCCTCAGACTCCCAAGTAGCTGGGATTACAGACACCCACCACCACACTAGGCTAATTTTTTTTGTATTTTTAGTAGAGACTGGGTTTTGCCATCTTGGTGAAGCTGGTTTTGAACTCCTGACCTCGTGATCCACCTGCCTTAGCCTCCCAAAGTGCTGGGCTCACAGGCCTGAGCCACCACACCCAGCCAAGCATCTTAAACAACGGGCAAGCATATTATTTTTCAGAGGCAGAGAGCACTAATTCCACCTTTAATAAAGTCACCTTCCCTGTGATTCTTTCTGAAAGCCCTGGCCTAGAGGGCTTCCCCTTATGTGTCCTCGGCCCCGGCTGCGTCACATGCCTACACCTAAACCAATCACTGACACAGAGGCAGGAAGCATCCTGGTTGGCTGAGACTCATCAACATTCACCCCCTGTGGCTGAGGAGGGGGTCTCCTACCTTGGGCACAGGCAGGTAAATTTCAGGACAAAATCAAGCCTTTAACAACATAGAAAAAGGGTAGAGAGTAGCTGTTGAATCTAGGAACTGCCCAATAACCTTCCAATAAATTGTTTTTCTGCTTAAGTTAGCCAGAGTTGGTTTCTGTGGCCTGTAATCACAGAAGCCTGGCTGAGCTACACTCAGGGGCTGCGTGGTGAGATGACAGGAGCAGCCTTCTCGACCAGGAGGAGTGCGATCAGCACACATCTGTGAGGCAGCATAGAATGACCACATGGAAGCACACGAAAAATAGTCCCAGGACCTCAGGAAATGACTGTGGAGTGAGGTGTTAGAGCTTAGAGTTAGAGGCTGTGTATTTCAGGTGACCCATTGTGACTATACCCCCAGGCTATGTAACCTGGGGCATTACATGAATGTTCAGTAAATATTAAAGTGGACTGAAGCCCACCTCCCACCCCCCAGTGGCTCATATCTGTAATCCCAGTACTTTGGGAGGCCAAGGTAGGCAGATTGCTTGAGCTCAGGAGTTCAAGACCAGCCTGGGCAACAAGGGGAAAAACCTTGTCTCTATCAAATATACAAAAACTTAGCTGGCCTTGGTGGTGTGCACCTGTGGTCCCAGCTACTCAGGAGGCTGAGGCAGGGGAATTGCTTGAACCAGGGGGCGGAGGCTGC